GGTTCAGCTCGGTCAGGTTGGCGCGCAGGAGAGTACGTTGCTCGCGGCGGCCACGTCAATTTGTCGAAATTCGTTCCGAATCGTTTTATGTCCGCCACGCCGCGAGACGCGACCCGCTACCATGCGCACACAACGCCTCCACCTTGGCGGCTACTACGTTCGCGCCGCGTTTGCTCTATCTCTCTCCTCTCTCTTTCTCTTTCCATCGAACCTCTCGAGAGACCCCTCTAAAGTTTCATCGCCGCGTCTTTGAAATTGTATAACCCCATGGGACGAGACGGAGCCGCGAGCTAAAAATCCGTGTCAATGGTCACTTTTAACTGGCGTCGTCAAACATTCTGTCTACATGCAGGGATGTAGCAACTTGCTTTTATATTTTGTTTAATGATCCATTTATTTTCGTTTTATGTTATTGGATTCACTGAAATGCAACGCTTTTTTACATTTAGGATTATGTTGTCTGTTATTTTTAATTAATTATTATTAAAACTATGTGTTTTTAACGAGAATGTTTGTAATTGCCGTGATATTTTGAATGTCGGATAAAGCGATGTCAGTTTGTAATAGACTATTCTAGATAGATTCGGTAGCGTCCGTCTCAAATCAATGTGCATACAAATTACATGCATTGTTTTGTGGAAATTTACTTTGCGTAATGTATTTAGATAATATGTATATACTTTTATCGTCTCTTGTCCACCTGTGTCTTTAAAGAGGTAATTAACATTCGACTGATCATTTAACAAATTCCAACGTAAAATGTTAATGATACGGACGCAAATTACGAGTTGATGTGAATTTCGTTTAACTTCAAAATGATGTTATTTGCATGTCCGTAATGGTGAATACGTACTTCATTTGCATATATTGTTCTAAGTTTAAATTTTATGTAAGTGATTCTCAATATATATACGACGTAACGTAAATATTAATACAAATTGCAAAGTAAAAAAATGGCAAAATATTCCGCGCTTCCGCTAGCGTGTCGTACGCATTATACAAGATATGGTAGTTGCATATTATATCGACGCTTAAATAATTGTTTCCAGAACACGTGCCACGAAGTTGTGCCAGCTTTAAACTTCGATATTAAGACCATGTTTGCAACACGGTGTTGCACCGGCACCAGCCTAATCTTATCTTATCCTCCTAATACCGCGTTGCCGTATTAGTAAGCATATTTTGTGTGTAACACGCGCTTTTGTACGCGCAGAAGAATATTACGCATGTGTATCGAATGGTACGACAACCTTTTTGTTTTTCCCCTTTACGTAAGGAGATCCTTGATACATAACATTTTTTTTATACAGTAAATTGAGGATCGGAGCGGTTTTAATTATATATAACACTATTTATGGTCATACTTGTTGTGTTTTTTAATTTTTTATAAAGCAGTGGATTAAATTACTTTTACTTGAATGACTCGCATATTGATTTACAATAGAGCCAGACTTTAAGCCGTGTCTCGATCTGTTACGATCGATGCGAGCTATGGCGGGACTAAAATAGCAAAAAGTAAGAACGCTTTCATTATTTAGCAGATATCCCACCCATCGAATTTGCAATTTTCCAACGAACACGCATATTATTTTACTCTACTCGTTATTCACAAAGGACGACACATTCCGTATTATCGATCCTTCTCCGTCATTATTCAATTTGTCCGTGGATATACTGCTCGTGTCCGTAAAACGCGAATAAATCAGGTATTGAGTTAAAAAAAGAAAGTAGTTTTTAAAAGCTAAATATTTTTTGAACTACTGGTAGTAGTTCATTGGTAGTTTAAAATAAAGAATAAAGTCCCTCTCTTACATAATCCCTTACATAATATATATGATATAAAATAATATATATGCAAAAATAAAATTCAGCAAATATTCTCCAAGTTTGTAACACATTTCTTTTTCCGCGTAACAAAGATGAAAGAAGCGAATTCTAACGGTCACACGAAGGGCTCGGAATCATTTTTTCCACGCGGTCAGTAGAGGAGTGGTTCGCTGCTTTTCGGTTAAGCGCTTCACGCTGGATTTTGCTTCTTCTGCCATCACGGTTGTCCGAGTTAATTGCGTCCTCGTAGCGCTAACAGGCGGCCCACCTCGTCGGTCACGCGCGGATAAGAGAAAAACGCTGCGCGGATAAGAGAAAAACGCGCGGCCGCGCAGAGGACGAGACTTTGTGTCGATCCGGATCGCTTTTTCACACGGGCCACGCTTCGACGATTCGAGAAACGCTATTTACGAGCATCCGGTACACGGATGTTCAGAACACTCGCGAAGGAGAGGACGGGATGAGAAGGTGGATTTTTGGCGCGGGAATCAGGCTCATAACTAGCGTGCCAATTCTATCGTTTTAAGCCTTTTGTTATTGCGAAGAAACTCATTACTTGTTGCATGAATGTCTTTTTACGATACACACGCCTTACTAATTAACGATATCGATTTACTACACGGAGCACGCCAAGTTCGTCTCGCTCGCTGATTTTCGCGCCTCCTTTCGCAAGCACGTTACATAATACCGCGGGCATCGGATGATAATTTATCGTCTCTTCGCAGAAACGAATCGGGGCCCGGCGGCCAGAAGCTCGAACGACTGCGGCATTAATTAGCATGCCTGTCGAGATCGGCGCTGCTTCGCGAAACGGCGTGTGCTCCAGTTTGCGCGCTCCGTTAGCATAATATATCTGCCATTCGCGCGCTCGCTTACTCGCCTATGTCTTTAAACACACTCTCTCGTTTCTTCTTTCAGACACCCCCTGTTCCCGCTCCTCGCACTCATATTTGAAAAGTGCGAGCTGGCAACGTGTACGCCGCGCGAGCCTGGTGTAGCGGGTGGTGACGTCTGCTCGTCAGAAAGCTTCAACGAGGACATTGCCGTTTTCTCAAAACAGGTGAGTTTACAGAATATATAAATGTCGATTTATTGTTGGATATATATACTCTGTGCGGTATCAGAGAGTCTTACCGTGACGTATTTATGTATATCGTTGCAATATATATATATGTATATATAGTCCAATCTATAAATATAGAATACCTTCTTTTGATGTTCAAAGTTCTAAAGAATGACATACATAATTTACATACGAATCATATAACGGTTCAGATGATATTAACAGACTGACACACTTGTGGCAGAAAAGTGAAAGGATTTTCTAAAGAGTTATAAATAACACGAGACGCACTCCTGCCGTTTGCCTTGATGGTCCTCGGGAAAATTTTTGCGGTTTTGTTTGGCACACTGCCGCGCGATCCTTCCGTAAAGAATGTCCCATGGCGATTTTTGGACATTTGTATGAGTCACGAGGAACGCGCGTTTAATCCTGAAACAGTAGATCCATGCACGAGAACTGGCTGGCGCGTCTTAGGCCTCGAACAAGAAGAAGAACCCTGCCTCTATCCGTGGGACTTATTTTTAGGATTATCGTTGAGAGAGAAAGAGAGAGAGACAGAAAGAGATTTGAAGACCCCGAATATATATACCGGACTCCGTTAGCACAACGAGACAGAAGAGACTCGCTCGTTCGCTTGCGCGCGTGAGCGCGTTTTTTTCTCTATTCCCTTCTTCCTATTTTTTTTTCTTTCCCTCTAGCGGCTCACCTGAGGCAGGTCCCCCCAAGGACACGCGTAGGTAACCCGAGATCCTATGGGGCCGCATGCCGTGAAACGATTTGGACCTTTTAAAACATACCATTTCGCCGTCTGCGTGCCAGATCGTACACGTAGGTCTGCTCGAAGGTCTCTCGGGAAGTGTACCGGTCGAACGCGCGTTTCCGCGTGCTTTCTAAAGGCAGTTCGGTTGACGCGGACATTTGCATCGATAACGTGATACTTCGGAAGTGATATCCCGAAAGTAGAACGACTAATATCGTTGGAAAACAGAAGGACACAAATATACATATTCCATATCTGAAGGTGTTACATTTTCTATCTGCTATTTTTATGTCATTTAAAGCGACATTGATCTATTTCGAAATTATTTTTTGAACTAATTACGCCTCTGACGTAACTAGTCATATATTATACTATAGTACTGCGGGAAGGAGTATTTAATCTTTCGCGTTTGTACGGTAAATCTTGTTGATGTAAGAAGAGATTCCGCGTTTAAATGGGAATAGATTGAGAACTAAAATCTGAATTGAACGATAATTAAAGATTTATTAACTTTTGCCTGTTGTTTTTCACGTGCGTAGTTTCCTAAAAATATAGCTACATTCTTGACAACATATTAAGCGGGGCGACAGAATGGGCAATAAAAAATGTTATCATGCTCGTTTGCTTATAGTGAACTAATGCAAACGAATTCAACACATTTAGATTAGGAAGTATAGGTACCAGTTGCTGCTGTGTTAGATAACTAGTATAACCTCCAGAGTTATTATCGCATAGCATTACGTTTTTTTTTTTTTAACCGTATTAGTTATAGAGGAATTTTATATCGCATATTAATTGTGAAATTCCTACTAATTCGAAGTAACAGATAACATCTTTAAAAAGAAGTATGCGCAATATAGTAAAAGGAGATAATATCTTTGCGATTGCGAGATTTTTCGCGAGACTCCCCCTTCCCCCCTTACGTCACACGATCGCGCGTTTGTGCGTCATTTTATTGCTGGCGAAAAACAATTTGTCTTACGTCTAAATATAGGGCGTCGGTAACACAGTAGCGGTGGCTTTGAGCAATGCTATGCCGAGATAACGATAAGAATTAAGCTCCGGCGCGAGGTAGGATAAGGTGGCGGCCCGTGTGTGTATACATTGTTTCGTCGTGTTGATCCCGAAAAGTTCCAGACGATAAAAACGCTCCAGATTTCCGGCGTATTGGGATTCCTCAGATAATCGAGCGTATTGCTTTCTTTCAACGCGATATAAGATGCTCTTCTTTTTTTTTTTGTCGGTAGGAAAAATGTAGCAAATCGCGTTTCTACGTTATTATTTATCACGTCGACGTTATTATGTTAGGAGACCGTCGAAGATTCTGTCGGCGTTGCATTAAAACTTGTGCATTATGATATTTGCATCTTAATAAGGCGCACCATAAGGTACATTTCAAAACGCGCGCATGAAAAATAATGCTCATGATTACGGGTTTATTCCGCGACGACGCTGCCTTTTACTAGGATATTTTCCTCTTTCTTTCTTAACTATATATGTTCTAATCGCCATAATTAAATCCATATAATATCAAGGTGAAAATTGATGATTGCAATTAAAATATTTTCCTTTCTTGCATATAATATTCTTTTCTAGTTGTAATAAGATAATAATGTGGTAAATAAAAAAAATCAAGTAATGAGATAACATTAAAAAAAGTTGCTACGATTTATTGCATCTTTTTTTAAAGTACACATGTATACATTTTTTGTTACGTCTCTTAACTGCTTGAGATATTTACAATTAATTTATATTGATTTTCAACTGATTTTCTCGATTAATTATCTCAATCAGATATTTTTGTATACTTTTAACGAATAATACATTAATTTTTGATGCTTATCAAGATAATTTGAGGAATGTTGTTTTTAATGTAATATTATCAATATTCTTGCAAAGATTTAATCTACAAATTGATTATTCGCTTCCTCCATTATATTAAGTTAAAAATTTGTACAAAAATAATAACTTTTTTTATCAACAATTTTCTAACCATTATTCTGTAAAATTTTCTTCATTGACTTATCGTATTGCTACGCCAAGTTTTTCATATCTACTGTCCGCAAAATGTTATTTGCACGTATCATCACTGACTATATTGTTGGTTTTTGCGGTAGCTCTTGCTCAGCCTCATATTTCAACTTACATTAGCCATATATTTGATCCCTTCTCGCCCCCTTTCCCTCCGCACACACATTCAAATGCCAATAAAATCGTATATCTGAAATTCGCGACTAGCAGTGGCTTAATTAACGCATCACAGAAGGTCGCTTCGCGTTCACGTTAATACCGAGATTACAACCGCGTATCGGAGTAGATAAACAAATTATGTTCGGCGGATAATAGTCTTCGTCACGTATCCTCTCTTGAATATAGCGCGGCCGAGTTTTTCCTTGTACGCTATCGTTCAAGCGATCGCGTTAATTCGTGGGATCGGTCTATCTTAATTATCGAATTGAATCCGACGCTCTGCTTTTTTTTTTTTTTATTTTGCGCGGTTTCTTTTTTTTCTACAAAATATGAAACACTTCGAATACGAATATTCAATACGCGATTACTATTTTTTTTCATGTTGGTATGCAATTCTGATGTATGTGCCATGATTATATGTACCATGTATCTATTCTACATATTAATACTTTGCAAGCATTGATATTTAAAAGGCAAGCATTGTTTCTGAAGGCTATCACTAGGCACGTAAGTCTCTACTCGCGACGCTATATATATATATGTATATATATATATATATATATATACGACGATGCACATCGGCAGATAAGCAGGTGACGATCCTCTTGCGGCGGTTTTTGAGGCGTGCCGTGCGAGACGTGCCCTCGCGTACCTCTCGATTCCCCCCTTCTCTCGTGTGTCGGTACCGCGGCGGCGATAGGGCCGTATGACAAAAGGGCCGCACGCTGCAAGCGGGATTATTTCGCGTTTCGTTGCGTGCCGTACTGTGCGTGCATGCGTGCGTACACGCATGCGGTATAGCCGCCGCGAGATGCAGCGCATGCGCGATCCACGTTCGGGGCTCGACTATGACGGTCGGCGAGTCGTGAGAAGCGGCAAAGCGTAGAGAGTTGAGCCGGCGCGATGGTAATGGAAGAGCCGCGAGGGGGTCGGAGGGGCATCGAGAGGGATATGGGATGAGAGAGAAAGAGAGAGAGAGAGAGAGAGAGTGTGAGAGAAGGAAAGAGGGGGGCAGGCTGCTCATTTTCTGCCATTGTAAATTGATCTATTCAATGGGTCCACTATTATCCCCCCCCTGCGGTCCATGCATCGTGTGCCCTATGGGGGCCACGATATTCCTCCAGTCTTCCGTCTCCAACGCCCCTTCTGCATGCGCTCTTTCTCTCTCTCTTTCTCTTCTCCCCCGGCGCCCGCCACAGACCCCTCGCCTTCTTTCTCTCCCTCGGTTCGCGCTCGTTGCCTTCGACGTTGCCTGGCTGCAACGTGCCATCGGTCGTACCCCGCTGCGCCACGTTGCGCCGTGCCTTTGTTGCGCCCTTTTTTTCACCCGCCAAAAGAGGCATCCCGCTTTTTTTCGCGATCATCGTCGACGACCGCGTCGAAAAATTTCGCTCGCGCTTCGTCGCCTCGCGGCTGCGTACCATCTTTGTAAATCCGGCCACTCAAATGAGCGTCACGATGTTCTCTAGATTATAACGGAGTGTAAAAACTTCCTGTGCCATACTTATCCATTTATAAATTTAACGTACGTGAGAAAAGATTATTAATGGTTAATTAAGCCAGAAATCTGGTTGAAAATTGATACGTTATTTCGGCATTATTTAACGGAGATTTCACACGAGACGATCTTTAGGTAGACATATAGGAATCTTATTATATGCAATTTATGCCAAATTAACTTTCTGACGAGTTTAACGAGATTTAATAATATGTGCGTCGTAAAATACGAGTGCGATATATTGTTGCTGTTATCCAAGAGCAAAACATTTTTCCGATGGTGTAACTGCGTCTTGTACAATGAATCGAAACTGGATTGGGAGATGTGGGCGAGCGTGTGTTCGTCACGATGTCGCAATTCTGTGTCACGCTCACAAATACATGGAAAGAGAGAGAGAGAACCCGAGAAGAAAGATTCTATCGGAGATTTATTGGTACAATTAGGATGCACCTCTTGAAGCATTAAACTCTCATAAAATGCCTAATGGCGACCGCTAGAGAACGTATTCTATTCAAATGTAAACTGTCGGTTCTTTCGCCTCTCACGTTCATTCACCTTCTTTCTGTTCAACTCCACGAGTCAAAAATCTGATATACAAAAAAAGCCATAAATATCTGATATTTATAAAATTAGTTTTATATCGAAAGAAACTTTATACGCATGCACGCAGTCATAAATATAAATAAGAAGTATAAGCATTATTTATATATTTATATATTATGCTTAGGTATTATTTATGAATATTTTTCTTGTTTTATTTTCAAGTTATAAAGGTTGAGAAAATAGAATATTTTCTGTAGTTAAAATGATCAAAGCATATTAATTCTCCAAGCAGCTCAACGAGCCGTTGTGAGAACCGGTGCACCATCGAAGTGCCTCAGTTTTAACAGAGATTCGAGGCCAATTAACGAAACGAAACCCACGTAGGAAACCGCGTAAGGCTCGGTGTGAATACGTCGTGCTTGAACCGGTTTTTTACATTCTGACGTCATAATTATATCATCGGCGAATTAGGCTATGGCTATAGTAATCATGCTATTATATAGTATGTTATTCGTATATATATATATATATATACATATATATTTTTAAATTTAATATTGGATATATCTTTCTTTTTTATTTCGAGAATTCCGTCTTGATTAATGTAGAAAAGTTGAGACATTGCATTGATGTTGGAATATTTGTGAAATGTATGAAATTTTATCATAATTTTGATTCATCGTAAATTTAACTTTCATTCTGGATTCCTAAACCATTCTCCGAACGGGTTTCAGATTCTCAGTTTTAATTGTTTCAACACGAAACGTGTATACACGGTTAATTCGACGGTTGTTACGAGCCGCATAACTATATCGCCGGCGGTCTTATTGCTACAATTTCACAATTATCGCGTTCTAGCGTAAATACCTGCCCGTTTTGACGTGTGCGCTACCACGCGATAGTGATCACGCGGAGTATCACGCGCTCTATCAGTTCTTTTCCTCTTTCTCGCGGCCTGGCTCATATTGTTGGAGAAACACGTAGCCATTTGTAGGGTGTAGAAACATTCATTGTCTTCTACTAATGAAGATATCGAAGCATTAAATTGTATCGAGTATTCGCAGTTTATTGTGTCAATTAGATATATCTCGAAATTAGAAAAGTGTTGATGTACTTTACATAGATTGGATGAAAAATATCTCGGAGAAAGTAATTAAAGTCAAATGTTACTCAATATTTTAGAATAGAACTTAAATGTTTTTATTTTTGAAAAGAATATTTGATATATTTTTTACTTAAATGGTTAAAGCGTGTAAAAGAAGATTTATTTTCTCAAAAACAAGTTTAAGTTTTTTTCACAGGCCTTTTGTTTTTTGCGTAAAAGTTTAAAGGCAGAGAATTGACCATTGTGTAAAACGCTTTCTTTAAAAGTTATAGCTACCTGCAAGCAACAAAAAATCATCATGTTCATCGTATCCCTTGAAATGCTTACTTATACAGGATATTGTCAGATTACCAGTAACAGTAACGGTAAAACGTTTTTTGACCTCGAGAAGATATATTGTTGACTGGTAAAAAATGACTTTACGACAAGCGTGACGAAAGTTAACTATAGTGTAGTAGTAATTTGTTAAGGTTAAGAAAATTGGAAATTCTTCATGGTTATATATTTAGAGAAAAAAAATTTTCTCATTATTTTATTACAACAGAAAATCTATGCAGGATTTAATTTTTTAAATTTGGAGAAAATTGGTGAAAGTCAATGTTTCTGTTTTTTCTTAGTTTGGGACGTCTGCCCAACCCATAAATTGATACTACAACATGGTTGGAATATTATGTCATATGTTTATTGCTATTACTACAGTTACAAAAAATGCATAAAATATCGATTGAAATAATTTATTAATTAAAATTGATTATATTCTGCGAAAATGAAATAACAAGGTATTCTTTGAAATTTATTGAGGTCACGCGTGATTTCTGAAATATCAAAAAATATATTAAAAAATAAATAAGAAAAATTAGAAAATTTTTCGTCCGCGTATATGTGTCGCGTGTAGAGATGCGTACTGTATTTCGGCCTGCATAGAATTCTCCAATTGGGAAGGGAAGGGTTACGAAACGAAGGGTTCGAGGGGGCGGCAGCAATAGCAGAGGCAAGAAAGCCAGCAACAGCAGCAGCCTCTAAAGCAGCTGCTCCGTATATCTCTCGGCAAGATCGGCGCACACTGGGAAAGTCTCGACACACGATACGTGTGCGTACGTATTTTCCCTCCATGTGGACTCTCGTACGTGCATACGAGATCATCTCGAACAGACACCCCGCTTGCCGGAACGAGAGCATTCTCTAAATATTATCGCACAATATTTTTACCGCCTCCGCCGTGCAGAGTTATGCTCGTCCGACAGCCAGCAAATGCTGACGTTTCTATACGCATCTATACGCATCTATCAATGTTTGTTTTCTCATCGAACATTCTCGATCGCTTGCGCGGTCGATTTCCTTCGCCATTACGTTTCATGCGATGGTAACATTTTTTTTCCTTTTATGGAATTTTACATTTTCTTGTCGCTGCTTCAATATCGCAAGAAACCGTTTCTCTTTTATCGCTGTATAAATTCTTCTTCGTAAACTAGAAATGTGTCGTGCAATCACTGTTGAGTTAAACGCTGCCTAACTTTGCCAATTTTCTCATTTCCCATTATTCTCCTTCGGACGTGCCGAGTCGTTTTATTCCACAGACTGCTGCCAAGCTTTTTACGAATGCGTCAGCACGTGTCGGCGTATGAACGACTGCACCGTTTCGGGAAAAACGGTGTGCAAAGAATCATAAGCAGCGATACGCGGAGAGGGAGACAGCTGGGCACAGAGAACAGAACGGGCTGTTTACAATTTGTAATCTTGCCTACCTGCGTGGCGCTTAGCTCGTTGCTCGGGAACCGTCGAAAAAGTACGATGACAGGACCGCGCAAGAACTAGTCCTCCCTCCCTTATCCTTCTCTACGAACAGTTGACAGTATTTTTGTTGCACGAGACACCTTCATTATCTATACACTCTACAGGAATACAGGAGTGCTCGAAGACTCTTCCATTCAGAATTCCAGCTCATGAATACGCGCTCTTGCCTGGGAATTCGTGCGTGAGGACAATATTTCATTATCCGATTTTTTTTTCTTTCGTAGAAGAGCGACGCTCCTCACTGAATCTCACGTTTCTTGACTCTTTGGATATTCGATATTGTAAGAGAGAAGTTATTTCTCCTTTGAAAGCTTTGTCGTATCTTCCAGACTGTTAATATATTCCATCCGTGTGTAATAAATAATGACATATAATAATTTCAAGATTTTTTTATTAATCTTTCGTAAATTAAAAATACAATTTGCTAATACATATATCTGTTCTGTAATTGGTTTATTTTGAAATTAGCCAGAATACATTCTTTTTCAGTGGCAAAGATAATTGGCTCCATAGAGAGTTAATGATATCCCGAAATCTAATCTAATCGTTTGATCTGATATCGTGGATATCACGAGACTGAATAAGGCTACAAACGAGATTTGTCGTGCGGTTCTTTTTTTGAGTCGAAAAGTTTGAACGTCAATTCGAAAGTAGTTTTGTTTTCATTCTGATTGCGGTGCAAATGTCTGAGAATTTCAACAACGCCTCCTCCCGGCTCTTCCATTGCTGTCTGCCTTTTCGATTTGCCGCCGGGATTCCATCGCGTTCCTCGACACGTTTCCGTTTCTGTACGTACGAATTGAACAGTGGGGGTCCAATTAAGAAGAAGCACGCGAAGGAAATCGCTTAGAGAAAGAAGTGCGAAGAGACGAGGAGGAGGGAAGGAGGACGTGTAGCGGGGAGGTTTGGCTATACTCATGTGTATCTCTATACATATATGTATATACACCACGATATGATCGTCCATGTAGTTTTAATACCGCAATTATGTTGGATCCAATTATTAACGCTCTTATATGTGTGTCTGTGTGTTACAGATCAGACAAGAGAAGCCGTACTACATTGCGGACCCGGAGGTGGATTCGCTGGTGAGTAATTTCCTTATTTATTTGTCTGTATGTGTGCAAGAGTGAGATGTGTTTGTGTCTGTTGCGTCTCTCGATATCGCTTATGCGTGGTTCAATAATTTCGCTTAGTACATTCATAATCGTTCAATTTTCTTCGGAGATAGCGCGTATTACTTACAATTCGCATAAATTTACACGTGAAAATCATTTACACGCGAAACGTTCGTTGCGTCGAAACATCGAGAATTAATTACGGGATAAATTAAACCGAGAGAAGGAGGATGCTTCGAGTGAGCAGGACCTCGAGACCGCGTTATCCGATTTAGCGGTGTGTAAATAGCGAGAAGTCTCGTGGTCGTATTACGTTTTCCTTGACGGCTCCGGCGCGCGTCTAATCGTCCAATTTAATCGGAGATGATCGCCCGTCGAGATATCCAAATACGGTCGGCCGACTTCAACGACAAAATAACGAACCAGGAAGTAAGATAACAACGCACGAGTCAGCGCCAGTGTGTTCCACACTCTGTTTTTTTCTCTCTTTCAGTGAGTGGAATAATTAACGGAATAGAGCGTTATCGTTGCGCGCCTCCATCCGTCGTTATTCCCATCAAAACACGGATTCGGAGTTTCACAGGGGCGGATACATTCATTATGAGATATCTAGATGATAAAGCATCGTGTTTCACTGACCAAAACAAATATTGCATTCATCTGTGATCTTCCAAAGCGTGATTGAAACCATGCGCAATCGCTCCAAATCTCATTCAAATTTTTATTAACAGATAAATTTATAATGCGTAATTTGATTATTTATTACTATGAATAAATATCCGAATATATACGCTAATTAAATTTGTTGGATAGCGTATAGTAGTGTACCGGAAGGTCGATGACGTAATTTTCAGACGTAATTTATGGTCCGGTAATTAAAGATCCGAGTAACAATATTATATGGTATTGTTTTCTGAGTGGATAACCATTTCGCTCGAAGTTTCAGCAGGATCGTCGAAAAGATGCAGAGGAAGAAATATTTTAGGCGACCCTCCGCACGCGCACTCCGATCGAGATAACGGGGTAGAGTGGGCTTTTTAAATAACTCCGAGTGTGTATTTTTCGTCGGTGAGAACTGAGAATACGTACACGCGGCCTAACCGCGATAGTTAGGGCAATTTAGGATCGAACCGCCATTATGAATTCCTCGAGAAGTTGTTGCCATTTCTGATGTAGTTCTCCTTCGACTCATTCTGTTCTGGTCATTTCTGTTCTGCAAGGTTTTTCACAAGAACTGCATGAAATCACTGAAATATACATATATCATTTCATGAGCTATTTTTAGTGATTATTTTTTTCTAAAGACTATTAGTCATCATGCACGCGCAGAAAAATTTGAATATTTAAAGATTATTTAAGATTATTTTCAAAAAATTATTTCTCTGTATTGACGTCAGCATAACTAACGTGAACAAAAATAATAATATGTTAAAAATAATCAAATATTAATGTGCTTAAAGAATTTGATTAAATGCTTGTTAAATATTTAAATAATATTACAGATTTACTAAATATATAAAAAAAGAAGAATTTTACGATTCTAACATTTTTGATACAAAAATTATCTGCTTATTATTTTATTTAAATATTTATCATTTTATTTAAATCAGTATGTGAACAGCAGATTTAAATTTGTTTCTTGCTGCAATATATGTCAACTTTTCGGACTTGTTAGTCAATTTTGTTCGACAGGAGTATATTCGATAAATATATGTATATATTTTTATTGTTATGCATAAAGTTATTTTTGTAAAGACGTTTTCTATGGAGGGACGATTTTTATTTAAAAATATACAAATGCTACAGTTTTCAAAATTAGTATATTGAGTTAAACTGCCAAACTACTGTTGCTTTTATTTTGATTTTTTATATGAGAGAAGAGAGAGATAGCGAGAGTAGCAGCGAGGAATGCATTTCGTCGACCCTGTTCTCGCGCTGTTGCCCACAATTTTTCGAAACGTCACGTCCGTTACCTGGCTTGTCACGACCATAAATATTCGCGCAAGGTGGTAACTTGTGTCTCTCACCACCGTTGTCACAACTGTCGACTGATCTTATTTAAAAATAGGAGTATAAAGAAAGAGAGATGTGGAGGGAAATTTGGGACATAAAAACAATGTTATTTATGTAATAATGGTGTAAATTAAAAATAAAATACGTACGATAATATCTAATATTCAAGACGCGAGATCGCGTTAATATATAATTATATTATATATTATATACCTCCTGGTATACATAAAAATTTTTTATTTTTATTACTAGCTTTTTCGACCGAAGAATAAATCACATGAAAATGCAATAAATCTCGTCGATCATTTACGTCTTGATTTTTGTGCTATTTAAAGTACCATAGTCTGCGCTCGTTGTCTCTCTGTGCCTAGCTCACGGCTATCCCCAACGTGCATTCGTAAAAAGCCGCGTCTAGCAGGTGTTACGAGTAGTAAATCGAGGAAGTTAAATGGACTGGTCGGATAAAAATTTTCGTATCGCCTACTAGCATTAGCACTATGGCAGGTCGACTAGAAGGAACCAGCTCCTCGGGGCTGGTGCATTCGTCGTTACACTCACCGGTGCAGTCACCGTTGCGTAGTTGCTTACCGGTAGTTGTCGGTAGGAAGGCCGGCGGAAGGTGGCGTGGCTTCATTACGTCCGTGGCAAATCGCAATCTACGAGCAATGAGCTTCTATCGTAAAGAAGAGGCACGTAACGTTCGCGCTTTTTGCTTCGTCCGCCTCATTCGCTCTTACTCTCTTGTTCCGCCGCCTCCCGTCCTTTCGACTTCTCTGTTCTCTTCCTCCTCGGCAGTCTCGAGTCACTTCTTTTCTCTTGCTAATCCTTCGACCGTCTTTCTTCCACCGCGTTCCCTATCTCTTCGAATGGAAGAAGAGGCTGTTTCTCTCCTGCAATCCCCGCGGACGCTAATCGAGCTAAGTTTTTTGCCGATAATTTCGCAGAACGGAAAAGTTACCGAGTCAGATTGCTTTCCAAGTTGAACGCGGCGAGGAGAGCCTATCGTTTTCCTCGTCAGTTAATGGTCAGTAGCGCGGCGAAGAGATCATATCTGCCTGTTTTCTTCTCTGGTGTTACGTACGATTGTGCATAGTATGAAGAGGCTCGAAATGCATCAAATCCGCGGTTTGTGATCACTGCTTTCGCATGCAAAATTAATACAGACAAAGTCCGGAACAGAATAGAATCGATGCATCGATCAATTATCACTGATTGACAAAATAAAGATTTATAAAGACGATTACAAACAATGATTAATCAAATGGCAGAAAAGAAATGACGATGGAATTCACAATTTTAAATAGAATGCCGAAAAATTCTTCCATTCTTTATAAGTTTCAATCTTGCGCGGTGTATAGGTATACAAATCAAACGTGATAAAGAGAGAACGCGTTTCTTGAAAAAATATTTTTAAAGAAGAATACTCATCTGATTTTCACTACAGTTTCTTAGAGCGATTTCAGACGTGACGATACGCTCTCAGACGGTTCTGCGCACATTCCGGTAAATCGCGGAGAGTTTCCTGATGGAGCTAAACGGGGAAATCGCGCGAGGATACACCACGTGGGCGGACAGAACGGCGTCTCGGCTTCTTGATGCGCGCATCGTAAACGGAACGAAGGGGAAAAAAGACACGGCGAGACGTCGTCTTTCGCGCAGCGGAAGGCGGCAAAGCGAGCAACGCGAGGCGACGGGCCGCTAAACTCGCGAGAGGAAGCCGACTTTGCGATGGAGAGGGATGCGGGAGAGTGAGAAACGGATGAGAGGAAGAGGAGGGTCAACCCTTCTCTCATATACGCGCTTAAATAATATTCCCATTAGCATAAGCGAGAAATGAGCCAATGAGATGCTAATTGCCGGGTCTTGCGTTTGGAGAATAATTATTATTACGAGGGGGCATTCTACTCTCCGGCCGGACGTTGGACTTGCCTTCGTGATTTACTTGTGACGCGGCATGTTGCACGCCGGAATGCGCGGCGAGGAACGATATTAAAGAAAGCTCGGTTATTAATTTTTTAAGTATTAATTATGGTATGTATAATATTGTGAGATATATATGAAATATATTAATTGCGTGTGCCCTAAGATTCTCGTCGCAAACGCGCAATTCTTGCTCAACGCGGGAACCCGGGCATATCGTTGTTAACAACGATTTCGTTTCGCAATCTCTCGGAAAATCCGCGGCGATGTCGAATATGCTCTGGATAACAGATACGATTCCGATATCGAAGCGAAATGTTTTCTTATCGCGAGATTAATTTCGAGTTGAATTGCGTCGATATACTGCGTTGTAGATGTCAAATGTATTCTCTTTTTTTTTTTTTTTCGGCACTACTCATTCAGTAATAAATACCTTCTCGCGACGTGATTTTCGCGAGAGAAACAACGACGACGACAATGACAATTTGCCGGCGAATCGTATGTTCCGCTCTTTCAATTGCGGACAATGCTATTTAGGAACGCCGTTTCTTTTCCATCAATCTGTTTGTAGTTTTAAATTTTTTTTTTTTTTTTTTTTTTTTCTAAAATTGCCCGCAACGTAAATCATTCGTTGAAGCGCCGCATGTGTTCGGCGGGTACGATAAAATACGCGACGTTTTTACATATTGCGTCAAATTTATTTTACATTTATTTGCATCAAATTCTTTTTTTTTTTTTATTTTTGGTCATGTTTAGAGAAATTTTTAAATCGCTACACGTACATTTTACACGAATTCCATCGTATATCTCAAAACCTGAAACAAAAGCCCGTGATAAAAAATTCGAACGACTCATTAATCAATAAACTCCGGATCTCGACAGATCAGAGGCGCACAAATAGTATACAAATAATTCTTTATCGAACTTTATCTTCTTGTGTTATTGTATATAGATTTTACGTGAGATTGTAATTACATCGTACGTTTTCGCATGTCGATCAAAGGATTAGATAAAATTGTACGTAATATCTTGAATGA